CGGTTCACGTAGTAGCGCAGGTCCCAGGCGTTGATGGGGCCGTCAAAGTGCAGGCCCCGCCTCTGGCACTCGGCCTTCTTTAGCTCCAGGACCACGGCCGCTCCTGCTCCCCGAGGGGCTTCAGCTTCTGGGCCAGCTCACCTGCGGGCGGAGGGGAGAGGCTCGGCTACGCCCCTGGGGCGGCCCCCCCAGCCACCCCGCGCCCCTCGAGGCAGAATGAAGGGTCCGGGAAGGCGACCCCCAAGGGCTGACACAGTGGGTTCTCAGGCAGCACCACATCCGGTCAAGGTCCGCCTGACCCCGTCCGCAGTGGGACTCAGGGGGACGGGGTGTTAACCTAGGACGGTGGCCACCACCTGGCTGGTCTTGCCCATGTTCATCTCCGGCACGGAGTCGGCATGCGTGCGGAGCCCCGGCAGGCGGGACTTCAGGGCCTGCAGCCTCACCAGCTCCCTGAGGATCACGCAGCTCTCCCGGAACCCAGAGACGGAAGGCGCTGGGGACCGTGGGCCACGCCCTCCCCGCGGACCCCGGGCCAGGTCTCTGCAGACGGGCAGGGCTCCCAGGCCACTGGCGGGGGCAACCAAACACCCCCCCCCCCCCCCCCCGCCCCGGGAATAGCTTGGAAAGTGCAGGCTGGAACCACAAGCAGGTGGCGCAGGGGACACCGCACCAAAACCACACACAGAAAGGGTCCGAGCAAAGGCCAGCAGGAGGGAGGGCGCCAGTGTCCCCTTCACAGAAGTCTCAGCCCTTTCCTGAACCAGAGACGCAGGCGCCGGGGGCGGGGGTGGGGGGTGGGTTACGCCTCTGACACAGGGCAGAAAGGGCCCCGACCTACCGCGTCGAGAAAAGCGCCCACTGCAGGTGCATCTGCGGCCAGGTCACCAGCAACCGTCCCCGGAAGAGCCCGCGGCGCCCTCACATGTCCACGAAGACCATGAAGCACCAGCCCAGGCCCCCAACCAGCAGCAAGCTCACGTGGATGCCGTAGACCAGCAGCTCGTTGAGGAGGCGGAAGTCCACGCGCCGAAGGCCCAACAGCAGCAGCAGCAGCAGCAGCAGCAGCAGCAACAGCAGCAGCAGCAGCGCCGACAGCTTGAGCTGGAAGCGCAGCAGGACGCGCGCGCCCAGGTAGTGCAGGCAGAAGAGAGCGGCCAGCGCGCCCCACAGCGCAGCCGTGAAGAGGCTGCAGCTGAAGTAGGGCAGGAAGCGGACGAAGCCGTAGAGCCGGCGTGCCCGGCCGTACAGTAGAGCCGGCGTGCCCGGACGTACACGGTAGGGCCGGCGTGCCCGGACGTACACATCCAAGTTGTTGTACGTGCTGCGCGCCGGGCCGCAGGCGGCGTGCAGGCAGGTGGTGTGCGGGCCCTGGAAGGAGCGCACCCGCCGGGGGATGGGCATGACCGGCATTGGGCCCCGGGCGGCAGTCAGCGTAGGCGTCGCGGGTGCCTGGGCCTGGGAGGCCGAGGCTGAGTCCCGGGGGAGGCGTGGGCCTGCAGGGAGAGCGACGCGGAGAGGAGCCAGGTCAGCCGGGACGTCAGCCAGCCCGGGGCCGCAGGGAGGCCGAGTCTGGGACCTGGGATCCGCTCACATCCCCCGGGGTTACTCTCTTCATAACTGCTACCGAGGACACTCCAAAGGGAGCCCCAATCACGTGGGAACCAAAATTCCACCAGCGACACCGGGAAGAAGGGTCGGGACAGTGGCCGCCGGCCCCCTGGCAGTCAATGCCGAAACCCATGAGGAAGGGCCAACAGAAACCCTGGCTAACATCCCCCTCCCCCAGGCTCGGCGAGTCCCCTTCACTGGACTCACCGTCCGGCTTTTATCTGGCATGCCCATGCCTGCCTGCGCTTCTGTGGCTGCTTTATCCAGGGCGAATAAGTCCCCGAGTGGCAACCACAACAGGACAGGAGGAGGGAGAGGGTGTCCACAGGGCAGACGGGGGCCGTTCTCTTCAGCAACTTCACAGGCCAAGTGCTGGGGACCAGGCAGCCGGCACCAGGCTCTGGGCTCCCCTGCGGGGCCTGAACCCTCGTGCTGTCGTTCACCAGGAGTGACCTTGGCCAGGTCACCTCACCCCAAGACCGTCCCTGCTCTGCACAACGGGGATGTCGAGCGCTGGGCTCGCAGGGGTGATGTGGTTAGGCAAATGGAACGTTTCCAGGCAAGTGCTGCCCGTGCCTGGCAGAGAGGATGACGGCCCAGGGCCAGTGGTGTTATCGCAGGGCACGGGCCCTGTGGCTTGGGCCACCACAGGAGAGGAAAAACAGCAAGTTGCTCTCTAGTTTTGCCTGGCAAGTGCCATTTATAGCTTTGCCTGAATCGTGGCTGGAAACAGAACTGGAAGTTCAGGACGTGTAAAATCGGAGCAGCAAAGTTGGTTACAGGCTCTGGGGAGGCACTGCCGAGGGCATCTGCGTCCCATCGCATGGCTTGTAGCCTGAGGGCCTGCAGGGGGATTTCTGCTAGCTCCCTCTCGGGCCGCCCACGTGGTGCTCTGGCCGGAGGAGGGGGAGGCCGGGCGCGTCCACCCTCCCCTGCCCACAGGCCCAGCCCTTCCCACAGGCTTCGGTCAGAACGCGATCTGACAGCAGCTAATGGCACTCAGACGTCGGTGCTCCCTTCACGCGGCGGAGTCGCGGCCTCGGGCGGGCCGCTCGCCATCCTCCCATCGCCACCTGGCCGCGGGCAACGCATCTGCGCCACGGGCTTCCCGGTCGGGGCCGGGGCGTCCGCGCGGCACCCACGCGCTCGCTTCTGGGGGGTGCCGGGCCCCAGATCCCGGAGGCAGGGCCGACCCGTAGCGCCCCCGGGAGCCGCCCCCGCCCCGCCCGGGCACCCCCGCCCGCTCACCGGGTGCCCTCTCAGCGCCGGCGTCCCGAGCCGCGCGGCCCCCTGTCCCTCGGGGCTCCGGGAGCAGGGCGGCTGCATGGTGCCGACGGCGCGGCCCGGACCCTCACGCGTCCCCGCCCGGGGCCGCCCCGAAGGGCCAGGGGCTCCCGCGCCCGGCGGCCGGCGGCGTTTGGCCTAGCGTGGGAGCCGTAGCGCCGTCCCTCTGCGGCCACCGTAGGACTTCCCTCACGCCCCTCCGCCCGAGCTGACACGGAGAGCGCCTCCCTTCCCCCAGCTCCGTGCAGACACCGAGCGCCCGGAACTCGGCGCTTCCCCTGGGCGTACGTGCGTGCGTGCGCGCGCGACGCGGCGCGCGACCCCTGACTTCGCCAGCCGACTACACCACCCCGCCTACGCCGCCGGCGCCTCGGCCCGTCCTGCGCAGGCGCAGATAGCGGACCTGCGCCGCGGAGTCCCCGGGCAGCTCCTCTGCTCATGCGCCGCTGCGCCCGAGGCGGTTGGCAGTGCGCAGGCGCGGGCCCTACGGGCGCAGCTGTTCTTCCGGCCCTGGGAGAGCGCTTGCCAATGGTCCCGAGGTCGGCCGCGGTCCTGCGTGTCTGCCGCCGGGCGAGTCTGAAGCGGACTGCGTGACACCACCCATGGACGCACGTCCCCAAATGTAGGGAAGACTGGCCGGCTGACCACCCACGGACACCAAGGTCCCCAAGTGTAGGCAGTCCGGGCGGGCTGGCTGACACCCACGGAGCCTTGGGGTTGCCCTTTGCCAGGAGAATGAGGGTTTCGGTGTAGACGTGTTTAAACATTTTAATCCGATCGAGGTTGGGGGGGGGGAAGCTCTTCACGCTCCTTGGATTTAGTCGGCAAGTTCCATTTGCCTGAATTCTATCAATTGTGGAGAAGCTGCTAGTTGCACACACGTGGGAACGGCTGGTTCTGTACCCCAGTGCCTGCGGGTCCTGGTCTTGGTCGCTGTTTTGGATACTGGACGCTCTGATAGAGGCCAGCTGCTCTGGCATCCTTTACAGAAGACGGCTGACCCGCCAGGGCGGAGAGCGTCCGCCTGCAGGAGCCCCTGCCTGCAAGCACGTCACCTCCCCTTGCAAGTCCTGGCCCCGACCCGCCCACACCCCCGCCCTGTCGTGTGGGAAGGGGTCAGATGCCTGCGGGCACGTGTGGTCCTATCCCTTCAGCTGCAGCTTTGCTGGTGAGGAGAGTCTGGCAGGGTCATGCTGGAGAGGGGAAGTAGGGGCCCAGAGAATTTTGAGAAGAATCTAGATCAGGCGAGGTGGCAGCAGGAGAGGATGGGAGAGAAGAGAGATGTTTGAAGAAGTGATTCTTAAAATGCATCTTCTCTGCTGCTGGGTCTCCACAGTGGCCCCCTGCTTTGCACCCTACCCCAGGGTGCTGTTTTTTTCCCTAGACCCTGGTCCAGCCCTGTCCCCTTGAGATGCCCTATACAGGCCCCCCTCCCCGGCTCTCTGAGGAGGCCCCATTGCTCCTGTCCATGACTTGTCCCTTCACACTTCCTTTTTCTGTCCCTCTACCCGTCCTCCAGCCAACGAGCTCCTACTCACCCTTTAAGACCCCGATCAATATCCCCACCTCTGAGAAGCCTCCTCCAACTATGTGCCACCCCTTCCCCGCC